ATTAACAATTCTATTTCTATTCATTCTACTTAGCGTTGTTAATTTGCTTGGTCGTAAAATATACGACCCAAATTTGTGCTAATACTTGCTATGAGCACGAACCCCGAGCACAGACCCGGGGTTTGTGCTCGGGGATTTTTTAATTATTATATAGTCCTGCTCCTGCAAAAGCAAGTTAGCTTCGGGATAAAAAAATTTATCTAGGGTCGTTTAATTATAATTCCATATATTTTATAATTCCCCATTATTGGCCTTAATAAATTAGTCAGAGACCTGCTGGTCCGGCTCACCCCGACCTGAGTACACTGGCCCCTATTTTAATTTTTTTAAATTAACCCAGGCCGGGCCTGAAAATTTATTTTAAAAATAATCCGAGACCGTATATTTTAAAACCAAATATTTTAAATCGCCATTATTAGCTATATAAATCTAATATAAGTATAATATTTTAAAAAAAAATCTGGTCCTGGTCTGAAAATATATTTTTTAAAATAGAGTCAGGCCTGAAAATTTATTTTAAAAAAGCTGACGGGACGGGCCTTTTCGAAAAAAAATTTGAGAAAAAATCCAGGCCGGGCCGTGCAAATGGCACCTCTGCAGGTCTATGAAATTAGTGCCGAAGTTTTTAAAAAGTAATGTTTCTGGCCAGCGGCCCAGAAGGCCTAATATCATATTACCTAGCTGTCATAAGTTTTTAAAACGTTTTTAATAAGCTTTGTAAAACAAAAAAATATTGCCTTTTTTCCTAATAATAAATTTCAGTATTGTAAACAAAACGATTGCCTAAATAATTTAAATATTGTTTATTTTCATTAAATAAAATCGCAAAAAAAAATTTTTTTGATAAAGTAAAAAAAAAATGAAGGATAAATAATTTTTTTTAAATTTTGAACTTTTTTCCCCCCATTTTTCTTATTATAATTTTATCTAACTTTTTATGAGCCATATTAAGCGAAAATAATAGGGGGGGGGGGGGGAGAAATTTGTTTATAAAAGAAAATATTTCTTTACATAATTACTAAAAAATAAATACTTCCGATTTTTTATAAAATTATTATATGAATATTTCTAAATATAATATTTATGTAATGTGTTATTTGAATAAATATAAATATAATTATTTAAATGAAATTCGTTAAATCGATCACGATTTGGCCGACCCCTTTTCAACAGGGTTTCGAACCATTAAGTATAAAGGTTCGGTTCGTTACGGTTTTTAGTTTAAAATTTTATAAAGGTTTTTTCGGTTTTTTTTGAAAAAATTTAAATCGGTTCGGTTTATAATTAATTTATAACGGTTCTTTTCGGTTTGTTCCGGTTCTTATAAATTTGATTTAAAAAAAATTTAATAAACCATATATATTAATATTAGAGAAAAATCTTTAGAAAATGCTCTTTCTATGGATACCTGCGTAGCTGGAACTGTTAGCACAGTTATAGCTTACTTATAAAGTTCTGGCATACTATTCTTTACATTTTCCCAACAATTCAAAAGATTTGTATCTTTTTCTAAAATCTCTATATTATCAAATGACCGAATTATATATTCTCTTTCTATACATTTATTATAATTTTCTATGCCCTGCTGAGAACCGAAGCTAACTAGCTTTTGCAGGAGCAGGACTATAATAATCAAAAAATCCTAGGGTCTGAACCCCGAGCACAACCCCCGGTTTGTGCTCGGGGTTCGTGCTCAGAGTTGGTTTAGTCGATATTTTAGACCCAAACCCCGGGTGAGCACTACACAACCAACCAATTAACAACACTAATTCTACTTTTGAATTCTTTTGCCGAAAAAAATTTAAGTTTTATTTTATTTAATATTAATAACTTCCGTTTTTTACTTATTTTTTGTTTTTTCAGTAATAGCATAACTACCAATTCTATTCCCTTCCTTTTTTTATAGTAAAATAAAATAAAAAAAATAATAAATAAAAAAAAAATATTATTTTTTAGCTAACTCTATGAATATGGATTTTTTTTTATAAAAATTAGGAGGTAATTATTAGTTCTTCTTTGTCTTTCTTTCCTTTTCTTTTTCTAAATTTAAATTCAATCTGGGTAAAAATATAATAATTATTTTAGACAGAAACATTTTTATAAAAGAATTACAAAATTAAATATAAACCATCATCTCCCTCCCTCCCTCTTTTCTTTACTTTAGTAATAAATAATTATATATTTATTGTTTTTTATAAATAATAGTAATAAAAAAAGTATTTAAAAGTGAGAAAATTTATAAAAAATTCAATTTGATAAAAAAAATTTATTTTGATAAAAAAATTACTTCCTCTATATATTTTAACCTAATTTTCTACACTCTACTGGACGATTATTCTATTTAATTTTCCTATACGTAAGTTTTGATACCTTATTTTCTTCTAGTCTTTCGCGACAAAAATTTATTTTGTGAACCGGAAGCGTAAAAAAATACATCTAAGCGGTTTTGGATAGAGAATTAAATTCTGAGTTCAAAAATATATTCAAAATTACGTTTAAGATGTTAGCCTTTCCCCTCTTAAATGCTTTCTCAAATTAAAAATACCTTAAAAAATTTATGTTTCTCATTAACTTCTTTATAAAGTAATTACAATATATTTATACTTACTTAATATATAAAATCATAAACAAATATTAATTTAATTAATAATATTAATTTTTAAATTAATATAATAAAATTAATTTTTAAAAACCGCAAATTATTTCAAAGAATTATTAAAAAAATTGAAAAGATCTTTAAATTTCCATATTTTTAATATATTATAATGTAATGTTATTATAATATTTTTTCTCTAAAAAAAGCAATAAATCTCAGAGACCTGCAGGCCCGGCCCTAAACCCGGCCCGGCTCGGGCAGGGCCGGGCCATATTTTAAATTTTTTAAATATACCCAGGCCGGGCCGGGCCTAAAAAATTTTTTTAAACATATCCGGGCCGGGCCTAAAAAATTTTTTTTTAAATATATCCGGGTTGGGCCGGGCTTAAGATTGTTAAACCTGGGCCGGGCCTTAATATTTTTTATAAAAATTTTTACATTATGAGTTAATGGTTATAAGATTATATTATATTATAGTTATGATTAATATAATATTGGGTGATGGTTAACACTACCTAACAACCCACAGATCGATCTAATTATTAATTTCCTGCAAATTTATTCAAAGTATTAATATATTTTTTTATAATTCATATCTAAATTTTTACAACATATTTTACCAAAACAATCAAATAAAGGAATATCTTAAATAAGCCCCAATATTCAAGTATTATTAATATATTTTTTTATAATTCATATCTAAATTTTTAGAATATATTTTACCAAAACAATCAAATAAAGGATTATCACTTCTTAAAGTTTGTAATTGATTTTACTTAATATAAAGCATTTTTTAATTGAAAAATTTGTTTTACACAAGTATCATTTTATTTCGCTTTTTCTCTGTCCCAAATTCAAGCAATTACTTATGTAGTCAGGGACAGATCGCAAAATGACGGAAAACTATATAAAAGATTATATTAAATTACAAGAGGCTCAGGAAGTAAATGAAATACCATCGACCAGTCAAATTACGACTGTTGTTAAACAAACTGAATCGTTTTATGATAAATGGGGCTATGGTAATTCTGGTAATATGTCAATACCCGATGATGAATATTATAATTACATAAATAATAGATAAAACATTTAAGGTGGATAATTTGTTAGAGTGGTGGGCGGCTCATCAAAGCGAATTTCCAATTTTAGCAAAATTGGCAATTCCTGCTTTAAGTGCAAGCTGTGAGCGGAATTTTTCCACTACTGGGAGAATTCTTGAAGAAAGAAGAAGTAATCTTCAACCTGAAAAGGTAGATATGCTTCTCTTTCTTCATGATAATTTGTGAATTTTTAATATCTTTCTTGAGTATAGGGTTTCGTCAATCATGCTGGTTTGTTACTTTGCAAACTGTCAAATATTTATTGCATTTATTATATTTACCTTGAGTCATGAAAGTTTTTAATCCAACATTTTTCATTATTTATTTTTACAATATTATATAATACAATTATCTTCTTTTGTTAAAAATTTATATTATAAAATAAATTATATTAATATTGTGCAATTAGATTATATTTTCAAAATACTTTCTCTTTCTTCATGATAATTTGTGAATTTTTAATATCTTTCTTGAGTATAGGGTTTCGTCAATCATGCTGGTTTGTTACTTTGCAAACTGTCAAATATTTATTGCATTTATTATATTTACCTTGAGTCATGAAAGTTTTTAATCCAACATTTTTCATTATTTATTTTTACAATATTATATAATACAATTATCTTCTTTTGTTAAAAATTTATATTATAAAATAAATTATATTAATATTGTGCAATTAGATTATATTTTCAAAATACTATTTATTATACATGCATTTTTTTAAATAGCGATTTATTTTTATTTTATAAATTAAATAGTAAATTAAATACAATATATTATATTCTCAAAATATTTTCCATTTTTATAAATTAAATATTAGTTTTATTTTTTTTAAATGTAATATAAAATATAGTATATGACAAATATTATTACCATTTTTATGAATATTAGTTTTATTTTTATAAATGCAATATAAAATATAGTATATGCTCAAAATATCCATTTTTATAATTAACAGTTTTATAATTTTTATAAATTCAATATAATATTCTCAAAATATTAGCTTTTTACATGCATTTTAAATAATAAGCGATAATACTCGCTGAAAAATATGGTAAAATACCTCATAGGTGAATTTTTGTATATACCATGTCGAATATATTTTTAAAAAATTCCGAGCCGGTGTAACGTTTTAAAAATACTCCATTTTTTTATATACTCCTTTAAGCTTATTTGTGGAGTATTTTCAGATCATATTGTTCGATTATAATGTATTTACATATCAGAGTATATTTAGATCAATGTAATTTTTATAATGATATTTTTTTGAAAAAGTGCTCATGTCAATCAAGAAACATTATTCTGGAGCTGATGATGCTGAGACGATTTTTTGAATTTCCAGTCAAATTTTTTAGGTCGCAAAGGATATTTGCCCCGTTGGCGCCTTTTTTAAACTCCATTTTAAAAAATAAATACAGGTTCATATTCATATATTTTACATTATAAATTTTATTTTATTATAGAAAATAAAATAAGCTACAAATTTATCATTGATTCAAGAAGCTAAAGATTTATTATTGATTCAAGAAGCTAAAGATTTAAAAATACAGGTTCATATTAATATATTTTACATTATAAATTTTATTTTATTTTAGAAAATAAAAAAGCTAAAGATTTATCATTGATTCAAGAAGCTAAAGATTTAAAAACAGGTTCATATTAATATATTTTACATTATAAATTTTATTTTATTTTAGAAAATAAAAGAAGCTAAAGATTTATCATTGATTCAAGAAGCTAAAGATTTAAAAACAGGTTCATATTAATATATTTTACATTATAAATTTTATTTTATTTTAGAAAATAAAAGAAGGCTAAAGATTTATCATTGATTCAAGAAGCTAAAGATTTATTATTGATTCAAGAAGCTAAAGATTTATCATTGATTCAAGAAGCTAAAGATTTAAAAACAGGTTCATATTAATATATTTTACACTATAGTTTTATATATTTATTTTAATTATGTCATTATATCTTAATGCTAAATTTAATTCTATACATGAATTAAACGATGCCATATCTATATATGAAAAAGAATTTTTTTTAACATAGTTATTAATAAATCAGACTTATTAAAGGAACCTTATAGCAAAGCATTTATAGCTCAATATAAATATAATCGAGTTTATTATATATGTAAATATGGACTGAAAAAAAATAAGTCTAGAGGTATACGATCCTCATCTAGTCTTCGCAAGGAATGTATTTTTATGTTCACAGTCTTTCTTCAGTGTGATAAACTAAATGTGTATTCTTTAGATATTGTCACATTTGTAAAAGATCTTAAAAACCATGATCTAGGTTAGACATATTTATTTGATTTTAACTAACATGATTTATATAATCAAGATTAAAAACTATATGAGATGCTCCCTAAACAAAGAAGGCTTTCTCCAATAAAAAAACAAATTGTGGAGCAAGCTATCACTTTTAAAGCTAATAAGGTGAAAATACAAGAATATGTTCTTAATTCAGGTCAGATGATGACTCTGAGAGATATTCATAATATTTCAGCCAAATTAAACAAGCCATCTGATAATGTATTACTTGATGTAATAAATCAACTCAGGGAAGATAATGGAGCTGTGGTGGAAATCCTAGAAAATGATAGTGAATTGTTGGGCATTTACTTTCAAGATGCTAGCATGCTCCATTATCTTAAATATTATCCTGAGGTGATATTCATTGATGCTACCTACAAATTAAACAATCTAGATATGCCACTGTTTATTCTACTTGTAATAGATAGTCATGGACAATCTCAAATTGTCGCTTTATGGCTTGTAAAGGCGGAATCATATTTTTGTGTTAAAAATATGTGCATGATGCTTGGTACCAGATGAAAAAATCGTCTGCAGGAAAATGGCTGATGTTAAATAGTTTTATATATTTTCTTCAAGATACATTTAAAATATTTGCCTTTAAAATGCCATCTCCTAGAAATAATGGAATGCCATATCTTTATTTGAATGGAAAACAGGCCTATTTAATCTTTTATATTTTATAGATATCAATAAAAATCACTTTATCATCATTGGAGGAGACCTTAACATGAAATTATGTAATGAAATCACTAATTCTCTTATTGGTTTTGCTACTTTAAATAATCAACTTTTTATAAACAAAGAAACAATAAATATCACACATACTTCAAACCCTCAAACAAATATACTCCTATAATCCTTAAAAAATATAATATCTCTAATCTTAATTTACCAACCCCAGCAAATAATTTTCTACATAATTTGGATCAAATCAACAATAATGACTCATGGTTAAACATTTCGAACTCAATTATCAAAACAGCAAATACCCATCTTAATATTAATTATCAATATCTATACATAATGTACATAAATACAAATGTGTTATTTTAATTATTTCTGCTAGCAATATAATTATACATGAATGGGTTTAAATTTAATCGTCAATATGTGTCATTAAATCATCACAACACAAATTCTCATTAAATATTTTATTTGTTATTTTTTATTTTTCAATATTATTTTTTAGATGTTACAAGAAAAGGTATAGTTTTAAAAAAAATTAATTATATATTTATCAAGATGACACAATTAAATCAGGACAGAAAAAATGTTAATACTTTTAAAAATTTATTAAATAACTTTAAACAGTTCCTAGGTCAAGTGAAAAGTTTCATTCTAGTACCATAAAAGGTATACAATGGATTTTATTATTAAATAATATTCCTTTTTTTAGATGATGATGAAAATTTTCAAGAACCAGTTATTAAAAATCTAAAGCTTAATGCGGAAGAAAATCATATGAAGGGTAATATTTTCATATATTTAATATTAAATCTTTTTTGAAAATATCTAGTTATGAATATGAATATACTAAATTTGATAGTTGGAGAGGATTATAATTGTATAAACAAAAAAGGTATAATAAAAAATATCTAATATACATATTTTTTTAGATGATGGAGTTAAGACACCAGAAAAAGCATCAAAAATGCTAGAGCCTGATGACATTCGACCTTTTGGTAACATTTTTAAGATTTGATAAAATCAATTTTTTAATTTAATAGGTGCCCCGCCGGAGAGGACGGGCATGGCTCAAAATGCCGTTTATGGTACAGAGGTGGAGATAGTTGCAATGACAACTATGCTCTAGACAAATATTTTAATACATACTATTTATAAATGGGCATACTATATGCCCATTAAAAAATTAAGTAATATTAAAAAATTTAATGTAAATATTTATTTAATAAATCATAGCGAACATATTGATCGCATAATTAATTTTAATTAATATTTATATCGCATATAGCATATATTATTTATATCGCATATATTATTAATTGATTTTTTTATCTTTATATTTACAAATTAAATAAAGGATTTTAATAAATTATTCTGAAAATTGTTTCTAACTTTGAGCAGTAACGTGATAATAGATAGTGCAAGATTTATATGTTAATTTTTGATATTTTCGAATTAAACCTTAAATAAATATATAAATTTTTAACACTTAATATTAAATCTAATAATTTCTAAAGAGAATAAGGCAAAATTGCCTTAAATATCATAGGACATAGAAAAAATAATATTTATTATTCATACGTCAGTTATAAATGCCAATTCACTAAATTTATTATATTTATATGTCAGTCATAAACGTCAATATCACTAAAAATGTAATATTTAATATATGCACGTCAGTCATAAACGTCAATATCACTAAATATAGGAGTATATAAAAAAATGGCGTATTTTTAATTGCCTTAAATATCATGGGTAATATTTATTATTCATACGTTAGTTATAAATGCCAATTGACTAAATTTATTATATTTATATGTCAGTCATAAATGTCAATATCACTAAAAATGTAATATTTAATATATGCACGTCAGTCATAAACGTCAATATCACTAAATATTGGAGTATATAAAAAAATGGAGTATTTTTAAAACATTACAGGGCCTGAAATTTTTTTTTAAAAAAATATCCGGACCGGGCTGGGCCTTAAATTTTTAAATCCGGGCCGGGCCGTAAAAATTTTTTTTAAAAAAGATATCCGGGCCTTAAATTTTTAAATCCGGGCCGGGCCGTAAAAAATTTTTTTTAAAAATATCCGGGCCGGGCCTAAAAATTTAAAATCGGGCCCGGCCGGGCCGTGCAAATGGTACCTCTCAAATATTTCATTAAACATTTTCTTTGTTATTTTTATTTTCAATATTATTTTTTAGCCTTTCGTATTACCAAGCCTTTCGACTTATAGACCTACCATTTAATGAGATATTTGATTGATTTATTTCTTATTTAGAGAAAAAATATTATAATAACATTACATTATAATATATTAAAAATATGGAAATTTTAAGATCTTTTCAATTTTTTTATTAATTCTTTGAAATAATTTGCGGTTTTAAAAAATTAATTTTATTATATTAATTTTTAAATTAATATTTTTATTTAAATTAATATTTGGTTATGATTTTATATATTAATTATAATTATATTGTAATTACTTGATAAAGAAATTAATGAGAAACATAAATTTTTTAAGGTATTTTTAATTTGAGAAAGGATTTAAGAAGGGAAAGGCTAACATCTTAAACGTAATTTTAAATATATTTATATCATTGAACTCAGAATTCAATTCTCTATCCAAAACCGCTTAGATAAATTTTTTTACGTTAAATTTATTTTGTGAAACGGAAACGTAAAAATATACATCTAAGCGGTTTTGGATAGAAAATTAAATTTTGAGTTCAATGATATAAATATATTCAAAATTACTCTTAAAATGTTAGCCTTTCCCCTATAAATGTCTTTCGCGACAAATAATTTATTTTCTGAACCGGAAACGTAAAAAATAACATCAAGTGGTTTTGGATAGAGAATTAAATTTTGAGTTCAATGATATAAATATATTCAAAATTACTAAAATGTTAGCCTTTCCCCTATAAATGTCTTTCGAGACAAAAAAATTATTTTGTGAACCGGAAACGTAAAAAAATACATCTAAGCGGTTTTGGATAGAGTAAATTCTGAGTTCAATGATATAAATATATTCAAAATTACTCATAAAATGTTAGCATTTCCCCTATAAATGTCTTTCGCGACAAAAAATTTATTTTGTGAACAGGAAACGTAAAAAAATACATCTAAGCGGTTAAATTCTGAGTTTAATCATATAATTATATTCAAAATTACGTTTAAGATGTTAGCATTTTCCCTCTTAAATGCTTTCTCAAATTAAAAATACCTTAAAAAATTTATGTTTCTCATTTACTTCTTTATCAAGTAATTACAATATATTTATACTTACTACTTAATATATAAAATCATAACCAAATATTAATTTAATTAAAAAATATTAATTTAAAAAATAAAATTAATTTTTAAAAACCGCATATTTCAAAGAATTAATAAAAAAATTGAAAAGATCTTAAAATTTCCATATTTTTAATATATTATAATGTAATGGGGTAGGTCTAAAAGTCGAAAGGCTTGGTAATACGAAAGGCTAAAAAATAATATTGAAAATAAAAATAACAAAGAAAATGTTTAATGAGATATTTGATTGATTTATTTCTTTTTTAGAGAAAAAATATTATAATAACATTACATTATAATATATTAAAAATATGGAAATTTTAAGATCTTTTCAATTTTTTTATTAATTCTTTGAAATAATTTGCGGTTTTTAAAAATTAATTTTATTATATTCATTTTTAAATTAATCTTTTTATTTAAATTAATATTTGGTTATGAATTTATATATTAATTATAAATATATTGTAATTACTTGATAAAGAAGTTAATGAGAAACATAAATTTTTTAAGGTATTTTTAATTTGAGAAAACATTTAAGAGGGGAAAGGCTAACATCTTAAACGTAATTTTGAATATAATTATATCATTAAACTCAGAATTTAACCGCTTAGATGTATTTTTTTACGTTTCCGGTTCACAAAATAAATTTTTGTCGCGAAAGACATTTTAGAGGAAAGGCTAACATTTTAAAAGTAATTTTGAATATATTTATATCATTGAACTCAGAATTTAATTCTCTATCCAAAACCGCTTAGATGTATTTTTTTACGTTTCCGGTTCACAAAATAAATTTTTTGTCGCGAAAGACTTACGGCGAAGGGCTAACATTTTAAAAGTAATTTTGAATATATTTATATCATTGAACTCAGAATTTAATTCTCTATCCAAAACCTCTTATGATATAAATATATTCAAGATTACTCCTAAAATGTTAGCCTTTCCCCTATAAATGTCTTTCGCGACAAAAATATTTTGTGAACCGGAAACGTAAAATAATACATCTAAGCGGTTTTGGATAGAGAATTAAATTCTGACTTCAATGATATAAATATATTCAAAATTACTTTTAAAATGTTAGCCTTTCCCTATAAAAGTCTTTCGCGACAAAAGATTTATTTTGTGAACCGGAAACGTAAAAAATAACATCAAGTGGTTTTGGATAGAGAATTAAATTTTGAGTTCAATGATATAAATATATTCAAAATTACTAAAATGTTAGCCTTTCCCCTATAAATGTCTTTCGCAACAAAAAATTTATTTTGTGAACCGGAAACGTAAAAAAATACATCTAAGCGGATTTGGATAGAGAATTAAATTCTGAGTTCAATGATATAAATATATTCAAAATTACTCATAAAATGTTAGCCTTTCCCCTATAAATGTCTTTCGCGACAACAAATTTATTTTGTGAACCGGAAACGTAAAAAAATACATCTAAGCGGTTAAATTCTGAGTTTAATGATATAATTATATTCAAAATTACGTTTAAGATGTTAGCCTTTCCCCTCTTAAATGCTTTCTCAAATTAAAAATACCTTAAAAAATTTATGTTTCTCATTTACTTCTTTATCAAGTAATTACAATATATTTATACTTTCTTAATATATAAAATCGTAACCAAATATTAATTTAATTAAAAAATATTAATTTAAAAAATAAAATTAATTTTTAAAAACCGCAAATTATTTCAAAGAATTAATAAAAAAATTGAAAAGATCTTAAAATTTCCATATTTTTAATATATTATAATGTAATGTTATTATAATATTTTTTCTCTAAAAAAAGCAATAAATCAATCAAATATCTCATTACAGTGAAACGATACACATGTTTAAATATACTATAAAAGGGGGTAAACAAAATAAGATTTTATTTTTAATAGAATAAAGATTGAAATAAAATAGGGACAAGCAATTAATTAAGAAGATTTATAGTTGATTAATCATTATAAAAAAAATGTGTTAAAATTTAATTCAAAATAAAAAATTAAAATACTTACATATTAATTATTTTTAATTTTTCTTAAATAATAAAAAAAAATGTTTAATATGGAATCTTTATTATCCAATACTAATACTAATTTTTCCAATTTAAATGAAAACTCCCAATCTTCGTCGAGAATTCAAAGACCAAAAAGAATACACAAATATTGGAATAAAGAAAAATTAGATATAGTTACCAAAATGTTATCAATGCCGGAAAAACAACAAATGAAAATAAAAGACATCGCAAAATATGTCTAAAGGTAGGATTGAATACCTACCACCTTATTCACCTCAGTTAAATCCCATTGAAAATTTTTTTGGAGTTTTGAAAAATAAATTTAGAGCAATCAATCCCCGCCCTAATTCAAGAGATGAAATTGTTAGGAATATTATTCAACTCCTACACGGATTTATTCCTTATGATTTCACTAACTTATTTGGAGTTGGGTTATCGCGGGCAACTGATTAATTAGGTAATCTTTATAATCGATTTGTATTAATAATTATAATATTAACTCTTTTAATTTCTAAAAAGGTACCAACATCAAATTCGTGGAAAAATGGAATATTTTGATAAATTATAATTATATTTTTTATGTATTAATTATTTTATCGAAATTATTATAAAAGTTTATAGTGTTATCATATTTTTATCGAAATAAATGGATATACAATATAGATTACATTTAAGAAATTCTAAAATATTTTCAAATATTAAAAAGACTTTTTACAAAAAATGATTTAGAATTTTATGAAATTTAATCAAATATCTTACTTGAGCATTCTCAAAGAAAATAAAAAAAAAATTCATTTTTCATCACAAATTATATATATATGTAACACATTTCTTTTTATAATGATTAATCAACTATTAATCTTCTTAATTAATTGCTTATCCATATTTAATTTCAATCTTTATTCTATTAAAAATAAAATCTTATTTTGTTTACCCCCTTTTATAGTATATTTAAACATGTGTATCGTTTCACTTCACTGTAAACATTTTCTTTGTTATTTTTATTTTCAATATTATTTTTAGCCTTTCGTATTACCAAGCCTTTCGACTTATAGACCTACCCTATAAAAATATTTATATAAATCTCAAAAAAATATAAAAATATTGACAATCTTAAAAATATATCTAATTAAATCTTTAAATTACAAAAATAATAAATTTATAAATAATAAATTTCCTCTCAAATAAATTTTAAATTAATATCAGTTAAATAATAAATTAATCTCTCAAATAAATAATAAATTTATTAATTTATAAAATAAAATACATTGTAAAAATAACTAATCCACCCTGCCTACCACCGTAACACATTGCCTAAAATAACACATTGATGCTAACATATATAAGAATAAACGTTACTTTAGCCAAGAATAGTTATGTGTGATTTTAAGATTATATCAAATCTAATTACCTGGTAATTTGCCTAATCTTTATTAAATTGAGTATTTACAAAAAACAATAAACTTGGTACTGATTGAATATAATTTTAATTTGAAAATAAATAACGAATTTAAAAATCGTCCCTAAGGAAAATTATTAATTATTTTTTGAAACCGTTTTGAACCGAAATCGGTTTAAAATATTTATAACGGTTCGGTTCGCTCTTTTTATATTTTCTTAATAGCGGTTCGGTGTTACGGTTCAGAAAATTATAACGGTTCGGTTAAGGTTACGGTTCAGAAAATTATAACGGTTCATTCCGGTTTGGCGGTTCGGTTTGGTTCAAAACCCTGGATACAATGCTTAATTTTTTTAGATATAGATAAAATGCATCTATTACAGATACACTTTTAAACCTATGTACCTATTTGAAAATAAAATTTAAACATTTAAAAGATTTTTTTAAAATTGGATGATTTCTTATGATTTCTTGCCTGTAGTTTTATTAAATCGGCACAATCCTAACAATCGAAAAAATTAACTACGCCTTAAGGCAAGAGTACATATTTTTTTCATTCAACATTCTTTAGTTTAAACCTTGACTGAGATGATAGTTTTCGCTTAAAAATTCGGTTAAGCCTTTATTAGAGTCTGCTTAAAACTGTTAAAAATATTTATCAGCACCGGTGAATCTCACTCCATACTTAATGAGAGAAATTAAAATGTTTACTCTAAACGATAATATAATTAAAAAATAAACTATTTGCTTCTCCATCTTCTATATGGCTTTTTAATAAAGAGAAAGAGGATTGTTAAGCACTTTTGAAAATATATTAAAATTTTGGCGAAAGGAAGGGGGAGAACTCAGCCGAGAGGTCTGCAAAAGGCGGGTTTTTAGTCCACAAGCCTATCAGTCCAATATTTTAAAAATTTAACCCGCCCGCCCAACCCGTCCATAGTTTTTTAAAAAATATACCCGTCCGCCCGCCCATGAGTCTAAAATTTTTTAACCGCTCACTCGCCTTCCCATTAGTCTAAAATTTTTTACCCGTCTGCTCATTATAAAAGAAATTTTTAACCCATGCCGCCCATAAAATAAATAAGTTCATTCTTCCAATTTTTTTAAAATCTAATAAAAAAATGATTCAGTTTCAGCACTACACCCCTATAAAAAAGTTTTATAATTTAGGAAATTGCTATATTAAGCAAAAAAAATTATTCAATTTAAATTACGGACAAGGAATTTATTTTATTTTATAATTTATGTAAAAAATATAAATATAAAATTAATATTTATTGATATTATTTCTAATTATAATGCAAAAATAATAATGAATCCACATTTTTTGGATCACACACGTTCCTTTTTGTTCTATAAACCTTCCAACAATGTTAATTCCTAAGAAGCAGTGCTTAATCTTATAGCTTCAATAAATCTTTTTCTTGACCTAAATAGGATTCCGTTTGAAGTATATCCTCTACTTAAGTGAGATATTTAAATAAAAGTGAAACCTTTAAGAATAAATAAATAAAGGGATTTAAATTAATTGTTTATAAATGGTAAACTTAAACTAAACTTAGTAGCCTAAAATCTTACTAAATTATACAAAACTCGCTGTTTTAAAATTTAAATATTTTGTTGTCATTAGGTAAGGTGCTCTCATCTCTAACAGCCACATCTTCCCACCTGTTGTTTAATTTTGAAGTGGATACTATCAATTTCAAACATAAATTTTGGAGAAACGGGCAAAATCAAATTTTCATCCACGTTGACGTTATTTTTCTATGTAAATACATGTTTTCGATATCAAGACATCCTCTGATATCGATTGGTATCAAAAATGTTGAAATTTCATGGATCATTTTTTTAAAATATTTACATAAATGATTTTAAATAACAAATAGAAGTTGTAAATTTTTTAACCCGCCCACTCGCTCGCCCATAGTTTAAATATTTTTCTTAACCCGCCCAACTGCCCACCCGTTTTATAAAAAAATTTAACCCGCTCGCCCGCCCGCCCTCTTAGATGGGCCGTGTGGTCGGGCAAACTAAAACCCGCCAAACTTAGCCCCTCCTCAAAATTTGAAAAGGGGTTAAAACTAAAAAAGTGTGGGGTGGGGGTGGGTTTAACCCCCTAGATTCCCTTCGTAATATACCCATGCCCTTATCATAATGCTTTTTGTTAAATATAATATTCGTTTTTTATTATAGAAAGATACTATTAAATGATTACTAGAAAATTTATTATAAAATCTTTTATAAAAGTAACATCGATTAAAAAGTTTCATTTTTAGAAAATTTCAAAAATTGGTATTAAATTTTAAAAAAATAGAATACACATTTTATAAATATTATACGATGAAAAAAATTAAATTAAAATATCTATTAATAATATATTAAACTCCTCCTTCCTGATAAAATATTAATATTTTTTTATTCAATATATATAGGATATATTTTAGGTTAATTAAACTATTCGTAATCTAACACACAATTTTAAGCTCTTTAATTAAGAAAAATAACTAATCCAATTAAGATTCCCGTTGGAGCAAACTTAGCTGTTTGCATTTTCTTATTATTGAACTCTTCTTTTTAAGTTGGGGGATATACCCCACAAATTTTATGCTCTCGGGACCCTTTTTTAAAAATATCCTACTCTTTTAAACGTATACAAACAGAATCAAGGCAGTCACGGAAGAAATTCAAAATCGTAAGTTTGGGAAAAATGCGTTAGCTCAGGCCTCTCACATAGCAAAATTTGGCAGACTTCGAATCTCTCTCTTTCTTATGCTGCCTATTAACAAAACAAACTGTTAACATGAAACTACGAAAGATTTGACCTAGGGCAGAGTAATTATCTTCATGGACTCGGATCCATGATATAACTCCTTTACCAGCCCCTTGCAAAAAAGGAATTTGATATCTCGACCATTACCTGCTATATCGAAACTCTAAGCTAACCCTTCAACCGTCCTCTTTTTTTACTATTAAATTTCTAGGGGCACGAATTTCTCAAAACTATCCCTTCAGTTGCGACTTACTAAAAAAGAGGCAACACGTGCCTTTGATATCTATCTCAATTAATTGAATAGCCACACTTTTGTTCTGGTTACGTTCTCTCGTCGGCTGGAAGATATGGCTCAAACTGCACTGCCGTTCTTGGAAAGGACAAATCTTAAGGCCCAATCCAATTATTCAAAGTGCCCTAAAATCTGCTTAGATTTCATTTAGAACTTTTTGACCTCTTAAAATACGATGAAAAACGATCTAACGGCATTACCAAAACCCCATGGAAAGGGGATTAATTCATAATATGGCACTCCTCCTTTACCTTTAGCTCCTTTCAATACAAACTCGAATCTTTTAGATCTTATAGAGCAGTCACAAATCAACAAATAACAGAAATGTCCGATATACTTTTATAGTAATCATCTCCACTAAAAGAACTAGATACATTATAAAATTTGTTGATGCTGGGAAGGATTATATCTCAAACACTAGCACTAACCAAACACAAGTCAAACTATATTATCTTAAATGAAAGCCTCCTTCCCAAGGAGCCAATTTAAATATTATAAAAAAAATTTAAAACTTTTTGTTTGTTTTAATGTCATTTTTCTTACTTATATTAATAATATATTTTTATTAATATTTATATTATTAATATTTATGCAAAATAGATATGGCATGGGGATTGTAGGTATGGATATTATCTTTGATGCGAATTAATTTATTCTAATCTTTTTTATTTCAAAATCATTAGAAGAAAATAATATATATAATTTTGTCGATATTTCTGTTTTTTATAAAAATAATCCTAAAAATTATGTAAATAAAATAAAATTAATCCAAATAACATATAAATATTATTATAAACATCAATATATATATAATAATACAACAATTATAACATCAGTTGAAAAAATAGAGGTAATACTACTAGTTTTGCGTAAATTATTTTATAAATAATTAACAATATAAATCTTTTATCGTTTATTCAAAATGAACCGAAAAAATATCAATTTAAAGATATTATGCCGTTCATATTTTTGCTTGCCGCGTATTCATTTTCAAGAATATTTGATTTTTCATAGTCTGAAGATTGTTCTGGTTCTTTAAATTTTATCGATAATTCAGAGAGAGAAGCTATGTTTTGATTTGGCCTTTGAACATAAGCCAAGCCTGACCAATCCTCGTAGACACAGATTTGATTAGACAAATTCCTTGTTATGTAAAAAAATAATATATGTATTAGTCTGTAAAGAAAAGCAGAGTTTGAAGAAAAAAAAATTCAAGCATTCTTTCAATATTTTTTTCGCTCAAAATTTTAAGCAAAATATTGAATATTTTTTTGCACAAAAATCATTAATTCGAGCCAAAAACTTTAATTTTAAAGCTTTTTTATTTTGAAAAGCATTTCAAAACACTGAAAAATGTCTGAATAAGTTTAACACTTGAAAGATAACATGGGGGCAAAAAAAACATTATGTTTTAAAATATATTTAAAAATAGGTTGGGTAAATATTTCAGCTTGATTTTTTAAGAGTCTTACTATATTAACCCAACGTTCAAGTTTGCAAAATTTCATCGTGCTTTATCAATTTGTTAGTGCTATTGGTTTTTTTCATAGTCACGTTAATGCCTAATAATTTTCTCATCATGAAAGCTAGTGTTAGTCATAGAGAATATAAATGGGTCATTCCAGTCAAATCGATCACGATTCGGCCGACCCCTTTTAAAATTGTTAAAAATTTCTGGAATTATTTAGATAGGTAAAAGAGTGAGAAAGCCGTTTATTTTAGCTCGCTAGCACACCTGGTTCTCGGGATATAGGGGCTCAAAGATACAAAAAAGAGCCACTTTGGAATCTGTAAAATTTTTAAAATGCTTATATCTCAAAAACTATTTATAGTAAAAAATATTATAATATATCATTTTGTAGGTAAAGAAATTCTCTAATTGGTTAACAAAGAATAATAAATATTGGCGCCATTATAAGCTTTTCACATCTAGTTTTCCTAAATTGCTTTACCTGTACTTTTAAGCAAAATAGTGAGTTTGTTTTCGAATTTTTTTTTATTGTTTTTTATTTAGACACCTTTGCTAAATATATATACAATATCAAAACCTTGGCGACGCTATCGACTCCAAAAATTGACAAAAAAATAAATGGCGTTTTATGAAATTACGGATTATGGTTAAAATTTTGCTGCTAATTTATCAATAACCAGATATTTTCACTTTTTATAATAAAAAATTTTGATTTTCTATTAAATATACTAATTAACTGAGGAGCAGAGTGGGCATATGCCTATAAGACACATAATAATACAACAAATTTCCAATAATAAATATCTTTCATATAATTTTTTTAATTTTTAAGGTATCTACAATTTCATCGAATTTTTCATCATTTGATGAAGAAAGATAATGGTATAATTTATGTCGTTAAAACTTTTTTTTACTCTAGATATTTTTTTCTTCGAATATTTCTTTTCACATAAGCGTTTTCTTTTAATGAGAGATTCCTTATTTGATTGTAGGGATATATTAATGTTATCAATAGCCTCTTTATATGAAGGGGAGAATCAATATCTACATTGTCATTTGAAGTATAAGGAATGTTTGATAATTTTTGTCGCCACGAAGAGCATATTAACATATCTAAATTGAATGGTAAATTTTTTTGGGTAATCCAGGGTAGAATCTTTCTTAGATTCTCGCAATAATAAGCATGTCTCTGTAGATTAAATGGGTTGCAACATTTTAATATTTGGTACGTCCATCTGTGATATAGAATAAAATTTTAATTGATCTACACCTAGAATACATGTTTGCACTCTCCAAATCCAGATTGTTATTGGTAGACAGACGATAAAATTAATCTGAACGGACAGGTTAAAATTATTTCTCAGAATGAGAGATCGTTTTAAACAATTTATTTTGCAAAATATAATCGAATATATGCCTAATATTTTACTGCAGCTGTTATATATTATCGAGCTAATGAGTCATTCGCTCGCTATAGTAGCAAAGTAGAGATCTAAAAAATGTAAAACACTTTAATGATAGTGGGGGGGGGGAGGGCAGAACTGGGAAATTTTATCACAATTCTTATAAACGTATCAATATTTTCATTTTCCTTAAGAATAATATTTTTCAACCATTAGCGCCATCTACTTTTTTCTTCAATTTTTGGTAAAAATGTATATTATGGAAAAGTCGATAGCGTTGCCAAGGTTTTGACATCGTATATATATTTATAAAAGGTCTCTAAATAAAAAGCACAAAAAAAAATTCGAAAACAAACTCACTATTTTGTTTAAAAATAGGTAAAGCAATTTAGGTAAACCGGATGTTAAAAGTCTATAATGGTGCCAATATTTATTATTCTTTGTTAGCCCATTAGAGAATTTCTCTACCGACAAAATGATATATTATAATTTTTTTTACTATAAATAGTTTTTGAGATATAAGCATTTTAAAAATTTTACAGATTCCAAAGTGGCTCTTTTTTGTACCTTTGAGCCCCTATATCTCAAGAACCAGGTTGTGCTAGAGAGCTTAAATAAACGGCTTTCTAATTTTTTTACCTATCTAAATAATTCCAGAAATTTTTAACAATTTTAAAAGGGGTCGGCCAAAAAAGTGCCTTTTTTAATCGATTTGACATGGAATGGCCCACATGGTACTCAATGTTGTCAAACGATATCTTTAAAAGGAGTGTGTACCACTACTTTAACCTGTGAAAAGCTAGTAGTGAGCTATTAGCTACCTTTACTTTTACAAAACATTCACTAAAAAATCTTTTTTATTTTTAGGTTATAATGTATTTTTTTTGTGTATATATTAAAAGACAATAAATAATTTTAAAAAAATAATTATATTACATTTTAATTGTAACTGCCTGAATTATTAGAAGATATTATATTTTTTTACAATTTAAACACAAATTTATAGCCCGATTTTGATTTTTTCATACATTTTAAAATACTTTTGAAATTTTGGAAATGGAAACCTATTAAAGTTTTCAAAAATTCCATTCTCTTCTGTAACTTATCTTCATTTATATTCTTGCTGAATCTGTCTCACATGGACTTATTACCTCAATATCCATTTGCTTTGACAATTTTAATATATTATACTAGTTGATTTGGATTTATTTTAAAAATAGAATTTAAATTTCAAAATTCATAATAAATTATATTTTTGTGGTTAGTTATATTTTTTAAAAGTGTGTGCTAACGCAGTGCCTATTTTTTTAAAAAAGGTTGTGTGGCATATTGTGATTTATTTTATAATGATATTAATCTAAATATTAGCTTCAAATTAAAAAAAAACATCAAAATTTTATTGACAGGCTAGCATACAAAAAATAGGGATTTGTGAGGTCTTGATTGATTTTTTATTTATAAAATGTCCAGCCCAAATCTTTTTATATGCAAATTTATTTGTCCAGCCCATTATATTTTTTTCAAATTTTCATAGTGCAGTCTGGTCAGTGGGCTAGGTGTCACATCCAATATGCATAATTGTTGATGTCAAGGAAATTAAGAAGGTATATATTCCAGTAAAACCAAACAGATCAAACAATTATAAAAAAAAGGATTTCAATCTATTTGTATTAAATTCACTATAATATAAAATGAAATTCAAAATTTACATTTGTTGAGAGGTATTTTGAATATCAATAAACATCTTCTTCAAATTGCCTCCAATAGGTTGTCTTGAAATTTGATTTAGTTTATCTATTTCATTTTCTAGATTACCATTCAATGTATCTTCAATCTTTTTTATAGTGTCTTCCAGTATCTTCTCATGATCTAGAAATTTTTCTTGCATTACATTTTCACTTTTAAGCTTTTTAAATATAAAATGTAGTGAGTATTGATTAAAACTATTTTAATTTAATTATTATTTATAAACTTTACACAAATATAAAATAGTATTGATGTTAATAATTTATGTATAAAAACTCAAATCTATTAAGATGATAATATTTCCACGCTCCAAATGATAAATTAAATATATTTATTACAAGATATTCCAAAGATATAAGCTGTAATTTTCTCTCAGCTTGTAAAACATCATCTTTAGTAATTATCTTTTGATTATTTTTCTAAAAAAATAAATATACATTTACAATTAAATATTCATAAGTTATATAAATTTAAATAAGAATATAATTAAATATACAAGTTATCTTTAATAAAATGTTTTCAATTGTAAAAAATTAAACTAAAATATAATTATTCAACAAATGAATCTTTTATTTTAGTTCAAGAAAATAATTTAAATTAATTATATCTACTCACAATATGGCTTTCATCCATGGACTTTATATTAAGGTTTATTTTGTCAATTTTAACCAGATCTATAGTAGTTTATAAAAATATTTATTAATTTATAGTTCTTATAAATTACTGGCATCTGAATATTTTTCCTTTTTTGGATTTTGTAGCAAAAATTTTTCAAAGAATTCAAAATCATTTGAAGATTCATCTATAGTTTAAAGTTTTATAAATATATATATATAATAAATTATTTGCCTGTTTTATCAGGCTTTTTATTAAAGCCCGCTTCTGAAAATTTTTGTTCAAAAATTTCTTTGAAATATTTCTTCATAATTTAATTTTTGCACCTGTTATATCTTATGTCAGATCTAACATTTCAGACACGTGTTGGAAAAAATATTTCAGATAAATTTTATAATAATTATTATTTATTAATTTGTATTATAAAATATAACAAAAATTTATTTTCATATTTTATAAAATGTAAAATTAATATATTATTATTAATTATTTAAATATTATAAAATATTTTATCAACAATTACACAAATTAAAAGCATTTGTATCTTAATATAGCCAGTGGCGTCACTAGGGAATGCCGCGCAGGGGCTCAAGACCCCTAAAAAATCTGAATAGCCCCTTGAAGCAGAAATATCTTCTTTTGATGGCTCCTTAATATACGCTTGAACTAATATAAATTTTTTTGATTGCCCCTGAATAATTTCTTTTATAATTCTATTAAGTGATATATAGATTTAATTTAATTATTTTAAAATAGACTATCTAAATTTTTATTAATTAAATACCATTTTAATTATTAGATTAGATCAATACATAAAAATTATACTTTCACTGTCAGCTTGCAATCAAATTCTGTGTTAAAAATAGAAAATCAATATCACTCAAATATTAATTTAGCTTTAACATAATCTACCCCCTCCTATTATATCCCTATGCCGTACAATAATTTTCCTAATCCTGTTTTCCTTATTTTTTAAAAACCTTTCCCTAATCTGTTTCCTTCTTTTTTAAAACCCCTTTTATCACGATCTTGTTTTCCTTATTTTTTAAAACCCTTTTTCCCCAAGCTGGTTTTCCTTATTTTTTAAAACGCTTTTTCTTTACAACCTGGTTTTCCTTATTTTTAAAAACCCCTTTTTCCTAAACTGGTTTTCCTTATTTTTTAAAACTCCATTTCTTTACAACCTGGTTTTCCTTATTTTTCAAAACCCTTTTTTACAACTTGGTTTTCCTTATTATTTAAAACCCGTTTTTCCCAAACTGGTTTTCTCCTTATTTTTCAAAACCGTTTTTTTACAACTTGATTTTCCTTATTTTTTAAAAACTTTCTTTCCCAAACTGATTTTCCTTATTTTTCAAAACCCTTTTTTTACAACTTGGTTTTCCTTATTTTTTTGAAACCTTTTTTACAACTTGGTTTTCCTTATTTAAGATGGTTGTCTGAAGATATAAGTTCAATTTCTCCGCCTATGTCATCCTCATCTATTTTATTTGATATTATTTTGCATTTGTGTGTTATATCAATGAGTGTAGTTAAGTTAATCAACTGGATAGTGTCAAAATATCCACGTGGGATTTTATTTGTACATGTAATGAAGTCTCTTTATTAACTCGACGTATAAGACACTTGTAAGAGAAGGTTAGTATGTTTTTCCATGATTTTAAATAGTTTATGTTGTAAATAATTTTGTGATAAGTTTGTATCAAAGTTTCAAATTAGGTTTTTAGATTTATAGGGTAGATGTGTCAAGGGAGCCCCTTTCTCCATTCACCCGTTAATAGAATTTGATAAAATTTGCAGAAGACGTTGACAATTTGTCTCTCTCTCATTCTATAAAATTTAGAAAATCTATGTTTGAGTGGGGCTCAATAATATTTATTAAGGGGTTAAATGTTGTTATAATTTTATTAATTGGAGGTTTTTTAGAGGAATAAAATGTTATCCCTTTATAACTATGTTTATATAAAGATTGGCTTTTGTCAATTTGGCAGAGAAGTTACAAATTGTTGACATTCTTTTTTTTAAAAAAATATTTTTTATTACAAAAAACTAGTAGAGCCCGTGGGAATGAGATTTTTATTCATTTTTTACGATAGATGCCATGCCAGGTATAAGCTCACAATATTAGGAAGCATCTAAGATCTTATAATTTAAAAAAGTTTATCAAGCCCAGCTCAACCCTTAATAAGTAAAAGATATTCCCAAGTCAGGTGCAAGCTGTTAATTTTGAGGTTCCAAGCCCAGTCCTACCCATTATAATTTTGAAAATTTTTTCCCACCTCGGAGATAGTTAAATTTTTAATATCATCACATGAACGGGAAATATTTGATTTACCAATTAGTCTAATGTGTAAAAAAAAATGTAAATTCCGTATTAAGAGAAACTGGGAAGGCCTGGGCAACCACTTATTAGAGAATCATGACAAATAAAATAAAAATAACCGACTCCTATACTTTATTGTAATATGATCAATTAAAATTATATCTAAAAAATATGTTGTTTATTATATAGGGTTATTGTTGTTTTTCAGATAAATTTAATGTATGTCTTGCATTTCTGAAATTATTTGTCAAAGAATTTGATAAGGGATATATATTTTTTTATGTTAAGTAAAAAAAAAAATGCTGTTTATTTAAATTACAAAAATGCCATTAAACACTAATGAAACTTATATGCAAATTATTTATATATTTTTTAAGATATTTTTTTTTATTGACATATAAATTTAGGATAATTTTTTTTAATAATAATGAGGATTATTTATTATGTATTTGATAAAATTAAAAGCAAATCCTTGTTGACATTTTAATTTTTGATGGAAAAGGCGACAAAATAAATCTGGGCGGTCGTCTGGTAAGGAAATAATTTATGTATAATTTTAAACATTTAGGGTTGTAGATGAAAGCGATGACGGATTAACAAAGTAGTGTACAAATCACATTACGTCCTGATAAAGATAATATGCCTATGCCTTGGGATACTGGGAAAAGAAGAAAGCAAAACGATATATCTGTCAATGTCAGCATTGGTATCCCTCTCTAAAATAGAATCATGAACGACAATGTTAACTCAACCATAAAACGGTCGTAAGTATTGTTATAAAGGCCACGACAGAACTACTGCATATATTTCCATTAATAAAGTTGATAAAATTGGCCGTACTGTACATTCAAGTTTGAACACGCAAAACGATATTTTTTTCAATGTCAGCATTGGTATCCCCTTTTAAATAGAATCATGAACGACAATGTTAACTCAACCATAAAACGGTCGTAAGTATTGTTTTAAGGCCACGACAGAACTACTGCCTATTTTTCCATTAATAAAGTTGATGAAATTGGCCGTACTGTACATTCAAGTTTGAACATTCCTCTAAATATTCATGAAAGTTTCTCAGAGAATCGGATAAAGTAAATATTAACTCCTAGTGAAGTGAATGATAGTACAGAATTAAATGTTTATGTTTGTTAAAAAATAGGCGGAGGCATAGGGATTGTGGTAGTGGTGATAGTATAATTTGGAGAACTGGGTGAAAATAAAATCAACATAGATATAAAACATAAGATAAAAAAAACAAAATAAACCTCCAGATGAGTTCATTTTAAGCGTAGTTCTTTATTATTTTGTCTACCAGTAACTCTAGAACGGGTAAGGCGTTTGTTTAATCGTCATTATTTTATTTGCTTATCTTTAGTAATAGATTCATCATGTTTTGTAGCAAGTGAAGGATTAGGGTTAGCCTAGACAAATAAAGAAATCAGGCAAAAATATAAATAAACTATTGTTGAAATTAAACAAACATTAAAATAATGAAAAACCGGTAGATGGGTCAATATTAGATGCATATTTCTAGTAGTTGGAAGGCTATCATCAAAAAAAATTTTGGGGGAGGGGGGACTTATCAAGCCTATTATGATATTCTAAAAGTTAAAAAATAACATGATGAATGTAATGTTATTAAGATTAAGGTTAATTAATTGTAAGGTAATTAAAAAATAAGAATAAAAAAGGGGGGAAAAAAATAAGGTATAAATTATTATATTATAAAAATAATAATAATTAAATTAAAGGAATTGATAAAGTTTTGAGAAATAGTGGTTAATAGATAATAGAGATAGAAAAAAAGAATGAGATAATAAAATTTAGTGATAAATAAATTCATTAAGGGAGGGGAAAAAAATAAAGAAAGAGTTATTTATAAGGATTGGAGATTATAAATAGATTAGAATAAGAATATTTAAATATTAGAATATACTTGGTTATCTTCTTAATTATTGGTTATGAAAGAAAAATATGAGTTTAAAAAATTATAATGTAAGTACTGACAAAAATTGTGAGTATGTTCAAAATAAATATATAGGTTGAGTAACTTGTAGAGATTTCATTAATGTGTAATTGATAATATGAGATGAAAATTGATAAGGTAATCTAAAAAAATAAAGAAAGGATTAAGTGAAATAAAAAGTTTCATTCATATTTACAAAGTTGAGGGGAATATTGTATTTATCAATTCAAAGACGATTTTTTAATCTCTCAATCCATGTTAGGTATGTGTACACCATCAATTCTCGAAATTCCATTAATCTGTTTGTATAAAATAAATAAATAAAATCAACAAATAAAAAAAATAAAAATAAATACGTACCGATGACATGACGTAGCGATGACATGACGTAGCGATGACATGACGTAGCGATGACATGACGTAGCGATGACATGACGTAGCGATGACATGACGTAGCGATGACATGACGTAGCGATGACATGACGTAGCGATGACATGACGTAGCTATGACATGACGTCACGATGACGTAGTGAAGACATCGGAAAATTATAATATAGGATAATAAATATAAATCCCTATGATAAAAATTTTATTAATGGAGTTCCTAGTAGGAAAAGAGGTTAACATATTCCCATTAATCATTAGAAATCTTAAAAAATTAAAATATGAGTAAATCTGATATTTATAGGAATAATAAATATATTGGATTATAGAAGTTGTTAGTAAGATAAATGACTAAAACCTTCTACCAATAAAATTTATCTATGATAAGCATAAATACCTACGAATAATTTGATTTACTCTCTTAAATTTATTTTTTATATCCTACCCAGCTACAAGTCTCATGAAATAATATTCAGAAAACGATGTAAGTAAATGGCTCCTAGTCCTATCCTCGGCTAAGAATAAATATTACAAAAAAATTAACCTATATTTATATTATTAAATTAAGTTGTATCATATATATATAAATTTTTTAATATTGTATTATATAAATAATGAATTATAAATAAATTATATTAAATAGGTAAATAATATTATAAATATATAAAATATGTAAATAATATTATAAATATATAATATAAATTA